GAAAGAAAGAAAGAAAGAAAGAAAGAAAGAAAGAAAGAAAGAAAGAAAGAAAGAAAGAAAGAAAGAAAGAAAGGAAGGAAGGAAGGAAGGAAGGAGAGAGAAAGAAAAAGAAAGAAAGAAAGGAAATAAGGAAGGAAAGAAAGAAAGAAAGAAAGAAAGAAAGAAAGAAAGAAAGAAAGAAAGAAAGAAAGAAAGAAAGAAAAAGAAAGAGAGAGAGAAAGAAAATAAAATTCAGAGAAATGCAATCAGGAAAGGCCCTGGGCTTTTCCAGGGGCTCGGTTACCTCAGTCCAACTCCATATTTTATGATTACCAACAAGAAGAGCAAAGGTAACCTCAAATGGCCTTATCTTCTGGAAATTTCCCCCAAAATAGTGCAGTAGATGTAATGGTGAGAGCTGATCAGGTCCCTTTTCCCTACTGATCTGAGGAGGGACAGATAGGAGATGTCTTTGGAGTCAGCAACTGACTTTGTCACTAATTATTATGGCTTCTATCTAGATGTCCCCCCAAAGCCTCATGGGGTCACAAGTGGGGCTTTGGGGAGGTGGCTGGATCTAGAGTGTGTGATGCTGGGATAAAGGGTGTGTGTTACTAAATTAGTCCATGGATTGATTTAGCATAGTTAGATGTGGATGGTCAGAAGATCCACCCTGTGTGTGGATGGTACCACCCAAAAGGCTTGCAACCTGGATGGGATAAAAGGGAAAGGGAAACTTGCTGTTTTGCTCCTTTGCTTCCTTCTGCCTGCCCTGCTTTGCCATGAACAGTTTCTCCTCTGCGATCCCCCTCTGCCATGCTACTCTGCCTTGGACCCAGCCCACTATGGACTGAAACCTCTACAAACTGTGAGCTGAAACAAACCTTTCCTCTTTTAACTTTGGGTGTTGGATATTTTGTCTCAGCTGCAAGAAAAGTAACTAAGACACTAGCCAAGTCAGGCATAAAGCTGTATGGGGTCCTGTGCATCAGTATCATAAATTAAAGCAGAGAATCTAGAAGGGGAAATCTGGCAAAATGCAAAATGGACAGGAGAGGTGTCCATGTAGAAATAGTCACAGGAGACTTAGAAAGCCAGAGGAGCTGGGATCCCAGGGGAAACTCTTCTGGGCTCCTCAGTGGCACTCTATGTACAGTGGCTGCCTACACACTTACCAGCAATCCCAAGGAGCTCTGGCCAAACAGTGCCGAGTCGGTGCAAACTTAGAAGCTTCAGGGCTCAGGAAACACATCTGTTTACATCTCCTTTAACTGGTGAAGGACACCCAGGTTTGTTTTCTGCGCTGCCTAGGAACAAGAGAAGGAGGGCCACCCAGGGCTCACATGCTCAAGTGCCCTGTACTGCTCTGCACAGCCGCTCCATCTGGAAGCCAGGGTTTTTGATGTTTTGAATGTAGCTGGTTGTCATCTCTAAGGCAAAACGCCTCCCATGAGGACCCAGGCCTTAGATGAGTAACATCGTAATTGCACCTACCACATGTGTCATGCTTTACAGTGCGCATAGCTCTTAAGTGTGTTATCTCATCAGATGCTCACAGCAACCCTATAAAGCAAACAGAACTGATATCACTCCTGTTTAAAAAGAAAACTGAGGCTCTAAATGACCTAATGACATGCTCAAGAGTCAAACCAAGGACTCTGGCTTCTAAATTAATGAAAGCCAGCACTTCAAAACAGAATAAAAGAAGGCATAACCAATCCTCTTTGCTTATGGAATTTACTTTCATTCACGCCACCCTGTTATAAGCCCCAGGGAGAGAACTGTACTCACATTCCATTCTAAGGGGCTCCAAATCTCCATAAATCAAGAGCCTCTCTTGCTCCTTCTGCTCCCTCTGCAGCTATGCTACTCCCAACTCTCCGGGAATCACATGGCATGGAAATGTTAACAACAATTCTAGCTTCCCTTGGGCACCAATTAATACTTAATATATTGAACACCCACACAGTCCTCACCAAGCCTGTAGGCTTTATGGCCACAGAGAAAATGCTGTCTTTATTCTCAAGGAATTTGCAGTCTTAAGAAAAAGGAGATGATGATGCACTTCAAGTCATGCAAGGTATAAAACACTCCACAAAGTACCAATACATGACATCTGAATATAGGTGAACAATGTCTCAATCTGGGGAAAATCATTAGAGTTGGTCATACTTCTACATCTAACACTAATTGCTTGAACAAGCATATTTGCCTTGCTTACTATCATCAGCAAATATAAACATGTTTTAAGTGTATGCTGTAGTTTCACTAACCTTGCATGTGAAACAACATACTACATAATTCCTTTTTACCTTTGTAATTCCTTTTATATAAATTATGATTATTAAGAGTGATGGCTCCTATTAATTAAATGTTTACTTCGTGACTGGTACTCTTAAAGGCTCTATATTTATTATCCCATTTACTTCCCTCCAAGACTCTAGGAAGTAGCTTTTATTATCTCCATTCTTCAATTACAGAAATTGAGGACTAGGAGATTTTCAATATATTTGCCCAAGGTCATTTAACTTATAAGTGGAAAGAGTAAAATTTAAACCAAGACCTGTCAATAAACAGTGCTACCCGCAGCACTAGCAAACAGGCCTGCGCCTGACACACAGCACACCCCCAACCCCAGCAAGGGAGCACCAACCACCACTTCAAGCCAGCTCTACATCTTGCTTCCCCTTGACATGGTAGAGCAGGGGTGTGGACTAACCAACAGACCTGATCCTGGACAATGACAATCCCTAAGGGAAAGAAAAGGGAAGCCCAGAAAGCTAGCCGACCTAAGGAGGAAGAACGAACCTGGCCAGCAACTTCAGGGACTTCAGTGTTACCCTCCCAAAGTGACTGAATCACAGGCGACCACTGCAGAGAGAGACAGTGGGCCAGAATTAGAACTCCGACAAAAGTGTTAGCTCAGGCTGGGAATGATCTAGGTCTTGCCTTCTGTAGGGAGCAACCAGACTCCACAAATGTCAACAGAAAGTCCAACAGTCTGCCTGAGCCCACCCCATGGCTTACATCCTGCAGTGACCAGAGGGCTAATGGCCTTTCCCATCCACCCACAAGAACAACGACATGCCTTGGCTTCGTGGATGACCACAGTCTGCAGGGAGGGCACCTCAATGATCCATAGACCCTACAGCCAAGCAGAGAAAATCATGACTGGGTGGATTTAATGACAGCAGGGGATTTAGCTCAGTGGCACTTCACCTGCCTGGCAAGCACAAAGTCTTGAGTTTGATTCCCGGTACCCACTCTCCCCAATCAAAACAGGCATTTTTTTCTTTGACTGAATCTTTTTTATTTCTCTACTTTTTATTTATTTTGTCTTTCTTTCATTGGGTTTTTTGGGGGTTGAGGTTCTTCCCTCCCTTTTTTTACTTTTTTCTCTTTCAATTTCTCTTCTCTCCTTTCCTTCTTCAACTTTTTTCTCTTTCTTCCTATTTTTCTTATTTCCTGTATTATGCTCTCTTTCTTTTCTTGTTTATTCTTTCCTGTAGCAGTTCTCTGTTATTAATTTCCTTTTACTCCTCAGTAGGACCCCCTGTCTCACTATTCTCTCCTCTTTCTCCTATCCCACTGATTAACTTTTCAAATTTTGCCTTTTTCACAGTCTAGCTCCCCACCCCCTCTACCTTTACTAGTATAACTACTAAGCTTTATGAATGTCTAGACAGCTGGTTAAATTTGTGATATTGCTGTTGAATACTGTTCTACTATTTGTCAAGCTAAAGTTGTTCCATTTAGTAGATATTTACTGTAGGCCAATAGCAAGTCAATATTTGGTTTGAGTTAGTGTTTGGACTATAATTATAGATGCCTTTTCTATGAGTAAATATGATACATCATTAATCTTTAGGATTTGTCAATACTCAGTTTATCTTTGATGGTATCATTGATGCTGATTTTATTACTATAGCCAAGGTGACAGAACTATTGCTATTGATTGGTTTTCTTGGGATGCCCATATCTGGATTGCCTTGAGGTTATTAACAATACTGCAGCCTATGCCTATAGAACTAGATAATGGGATAAATACAATTCAACCTCCCATCCTCTCATCCCAAGTAAACAGAGATAGTTGGATCATGGGACAGAGGTAAAGACCAATAGCCACACCCAGAAGACACCACTGCAAAGTAGACACTAAGTAAAGAGGTCTCCATTCTAGAAACAAAACTTTCCACTATAATCAACCCACAGGCCTCAACACACTGAGAGAGAGAGAGAGAGAGAGAGAGAGAGAGAGAGAGAGAGAGAGAGAGAGAACCAAAACAACAAAAACAGAAACATGAGAAGATAAGCCAATAAAATGCCTTTGAAAGCATCCAACTTCCCCAAAGCTGATCTAAGCATCAAAAGAGAGGAAATAAAAAGCCACATGACCAAATTCTTCAAAATGATATCATAGAAGACAAAAAAACAGATCAATAAGACAATTGACAAACTCACAGAAGATATAAGTAAACAGATAATGGGTCAAATAAACAAAATGATCAGTAAGTCTATAGAAGACACCAATAAAAAGCCAGCAGAGCTAAACAAAACAATGCAAAGCATGAACGGCTAACAGAGAAGAGAATTAGAGTACATGAAAAGTCTCCAAATAGACATTCAGGACATTAAAAATTCTATCAAAAACATGGCAAACAGAAGTGATCAGTGTGAGGACAGACTGTCAGAACTGGAAGATAGGACTGTATTCAATGACCAATTAATGAGAGATACCTTAAAAACAATAAGAGAACACTAAAAAATGGATCCAACAGCTCCTAGATTATGCAAAGAAGGCTAATCTAAGATTAACTAGAATTAGTGAAAAATCAGAAGACAGCACAAATGGCACTTAAAAAAAAAACTGTTTACTGAAATAATAGCAGAAAACTTTTCAAATAAGGAATTTAACATACAGATAGGTGATGCATACAGAACCTCAAATAGTAATGATCAGAAAAGAATCATTCCATGAAATACTATAGTCTAAATCCCAAAAGTCCAACATAAGAACAGAATCTTAAAAGCAGTTAGAGAACAGCAAAAAATCACTTATAATGTGTGAGCCCACTAGAATTACAGCAGACCTCTCAACACAAACTTTAAAGGTCAAGAAAGCTTGGAACAAAGTGTTTCAATCCCTAAAAGAAAACAATTTCCAACCCAGGCTGATATAGCCTGCAAAACTATCTTTCAAACTTCATGCAGAAATAAAATATGTTCAGGAGAAAGAACACCTAAACAAATTCATGACCACCAGACCAACACTCCAAAAAATTTTCAAGGATATCCTAGAGACATGAAACTAATAATAACAAAAGGCCTATTAGAGTGACTACACCAAAGAGAGTGAGCAGTTAAGTAGAAGGGGAAAATGGGGAATCAGCAACAGGAAAATAAGACAATGTCAGGAATAAGTCAATATGTATCAGTAATAACTTTCAGTGAAAATGATCTCAGTTCAGCAACCAAAAGACACAGACTGGCAGAAAAGATCAAGAAACAAAATCCAGTGGTGTGCTATATACAAGAAATATATTTAACCCAAAAAGAAACTCATAGATTAAAAATCAAAGGGTGAAAAAACATATCCCATGCAATGGAAACTTACAAAAACTTGGGTGTAGCTGTTCTATATTCAGACAAAGTGAACTTCAAGCCAAAACTAATCAAAAGAGGCAAAGAAAGTTCCTAAATACTGGCTAAGGGAACAATCCAACAAGAAGAAATAATAACTATTAACATATATGCACCAAAGAACAGTGCACCTAACTTCATAGAACAAGTACTACTGGACATAAAAGACCGGATAAACATAAACACAATTTATAATAAGGAACCACAACACCCCACTATTACAAATAGACAAATATGCCCAGGGATTAAGCTCAGTGGTTCTGCTGCCTGCCTTGCAAGCACAAGATCCAGAGTTCGATCCCCAGTACAAAAAAAAAATAGACAAGTCAACTAGACAAAAAAGTTAACAAAGAAATATCAGAGTTGAAAAATACCTTCAAACAAATTGACTTTGCATTTGTCTACAGAGTAGTCTACTCAACGACAGCAGAATACATTATTCTCAGCAGCATATGGAACTTTCTTCAAAATGCACCACATGCTAGCCAATCAAACAAGCTTAAGTAAATGTAAAAGAATTGAAATTATACCACACATATTATCAGATCATAGTACAATAAAACTAGAAATCAGTGACAAAAGAAAACACAGAAATTATGCAAAGGCATGGAAACTAAACAATAAACTCTTAAATATACAATTAGCTACCAATAAAATCAAGG